CCCAGGGCAGGACGGTGCAGGGGAGCGAGTCGGGGCCGTGAGCACACTCTGCCTGGTCCGGTTTCGGTTCTTTTTTGTTGATGAAAGAGAAAGCAACAGGCTTCTGCCAGGCTGAGGGTTTTTTTCTCCGCTGAATCACTTTGAAATGAAGGTGTCTTCCTAGAGCGAGGCAGGATTTTGATTTCAGTAGCAACTAGTGCTGTGACAGGTGTCGCAGGCCCAGCTTGAGGCAGATGGCGAGACGCCCGTCGAAAGGGAATCGGCGTATGGCAGGATTAAAGCGTGTTCTGTAGCAGTATAAGCTGAAGAGACAACAATCAGCTGAGCTGTTTGAAAAGCATCAGCCCTAAGCAAACTGCTCAGGCATGAGCAAATACTTCTTGCCACATGCCAACCCCCCGCTTGATTTTTCTGCTGTGACAAACCATTTTTGGTGTTTTAGCGCTACGGCGCTCTACAACCCTTAGGACCTTCCAGCTCTTCTGCAACGAGAAGAATTTGAAGTAGTTGGCAGAATGCTGAAAGAGGGAGTTTAAAAGACCAGCAGAAATATCAAAGCTGTAACACCTGCCATGCTCGCTTCTTATCGGGACAGTAAATAAAGTGATCAGCAGGCCCAGGGCTTGAAGACTTTTGTTAACTGTTGCAACCAGCTGTTATGTCAGTGCCTGAACAGTGCTTGCAGTGCACTTTGTGTAGGTGGGGACCTGTGTTGCAATCTGACCCTGTTCACTAGAAAAAAGATTTTGCAAGGTCTTCTCCTGGAGGGAGAAAAAAATCCCAAACCAGGTGACAGATTCCATTTCCAAGCTCATTTGAAAGGGCATCAACCGAGCAGAGCAAAACTCAACAGCAGAAGCGAAGAGGAATCAATTCAAACACGAATTTTCCGTTTACTGAACCAGTACAGCACCTCCAGCATCTCTGCTCCCTCCCTGCACCTCCCCTCTTAGCTAAGAGCTGCAGTTCTCATGCTGGGACGCTTCAGAATTACACTAGATTTGGCCTCTGTCCTCTTAATGTCCCACTGGAAATTGTTTAGCTGGCTGACTTCCAAGACGGTAATCAGATTTACAATAAGCAAATCAGGTATAATTAAAGGTATTGTCAGATCCCCCAAACCTACCACGTACCATCTTTATCATCTGGTGTAGGAATATGTACACCCAAAGCTCAGTCTTTCCTCCACACTGCAGTGAGTCATTTTTGAAAGGCCATAATTATAAAATTTCCATTCTCCCTCTCTGCATCTGCTCATTGCACAGGAAAAGAAGAACAAGCTAAAGCAACCTTAGGTGACTTATAGATTACTCAAACCTGAAATGCTAAAGTTTTGTCTTTTTTTTTTTTTCTTCTTCTTCTTCTTGTTTTAGGTAATTCCAAAGCATAAGTTTGTCCTTGTGAAATTCGATACACAATATCCATATGGTGAGAAACAAGATGAGTTTAAAAAGCTGGCAGAGAGCTCAGGCTCCAGTGAAGATCTTCTGGTGGCTGAAGTGGGAATATCAGGTGAGGAACTCTGGACAGATTAGTACAGTATGGGTTGGTGTGGAGGAAATAAAATTCGCTGCAATTTCTGATGAAAACAGGCTCTGAGGTAATTGTGATAGTGAGAAATGAGATGGGCCCGGCCCTGTTGGACCAAAGCACCTGCTCTGGCCGGTTGCTGAGCTCTGCCGCTGTGCCCCCCGCGGTGAGCGTAGGAGTGCTGCTTATCTCCTTCCGGCTGGTTAATGAAGCAAGTCAGCCCACGCTGCTAAACTGGATGCTACCCTCCTCATTTGTAGCACTTTTTGTCTTTTTTTTTTTTCTTTCTTTGCTGAGAGAAACCTTTTTGTCCATTTCTAGGGAAAAGGCCTTGCAAGAATCATGCTTTAGCCACAAGCCTGGTCAAATAAAGCAAATGTGGTATGATTAATTCATTGTAGCAAACCCTCCGCTTGTTGCTCGTAAAGCAGAGAAAGTGGCCGTTGCGTTATGGCTGGTGTACTTTGATGTTCTTGAATTGGCTTTAAGAGAAAAGCAGTGAAGAATGGATCACTGTCACCTTACTCACTCTTGTAGAGTGTCGGTTTGTAGGTAGAATTAAGAATTTAAGCTTACAGGAATTGTCTAACTGGGAAGTTTCACCCATGCTGACATCTCTAAACACACATGGATTTAGCAAAGTAGCATTGTTGAGATCTCTTTAAGTATGTTTTCTGTCCTCAAGAATAAATGCAATTTATGTAAGATGAGAAAACATCTTGTATCTTGGCATGCTGTCAGAACTAAAATGTGTAAGTGTACACTTTCTGCACATAGATCAGGAAAAAAATCCATTTAACTGTAAAATCAAACAAAATCAATGGATAGAGCAAAACAAGGAAAAAAATGGCTATTAATTTATCATACGGAGGACAGGGTTTGTACGTAGAGGTCCTGCCGATGTCTTATGCTATCACAGTCACAGTGAAGCACCATTAGAATCTTGTGTTTTTCTTTGGACAACCTAATGATGGTTTGCCTTGCAGAAGTGATATTCTGGGGTATTTTTGTTTCAGTGTATGGCACTTCCTGGCAAAGAGGTTATTAGGAAGCGTTGAAACTCTGGAGACAAATATTTACAAGTTTGTGTAGGAGAAAATCCTAATTTATTTTTTTCTTTTGATTAACGTACTGTGCTTTTCTGTGTTTCGTTTTGTCTTGATAGATTATGGTGATAAACTGAACACTGAGCTGGGAGAAAAGTACAAGCTGGATAAGGAAAAGTTCCCTATTTTTTACTTGTTCCAGGATGGTGACTTTGACAATCCCTTACCTTACAGCGGCCAAATTAAGGCCAGGGCTATTCAGCGCTGGCTGAAGAGTAACGGCATCTATCTGGGGATGCCAGGCTGCCTGAAAGAGTACGACATGCTGGCCAGCAAGTTTGTGAGCACCACTGAGAAATCAGAACGCCAATCCCTCCTGAAAAAGGGGCAAGAGAGTTTAGAAAAAACAAAAGAAACTGAGAAGAAGTCAGCTGAGCAATACTTGAAAATTATGAGCAAGATACTGGAGCAGGGAGAAGAGTTTGCTGCTAATGAAGTTGTCCGAATCACAAAACTGATCGAGAAGAACAAAATGAGTGATGGAAAAAAGGAGGAACTCCAGAAAAGCCTCAATATCCTTGCTTCTTTCCTGAAGAAGAATAATGAAAAAGATGAGCTCTAATATGTTGGAGAACTTTGTGCAAGCTGTGAAACACTGTCAAGAGTCCTAACCAGTTCTCCTTATGCAAGCAAACTTCCCGCTCACTTCAAGAGAGCAGCAGATTTCCTTCTGGTATTCTCAGTTTAGAAGATCAAGAGGAAGACATTCCTTAAAAACACAGTATTCAAAATGTTGGAGAAATCACCTTAAAGCAAGATGCCAGTATTGTGTAATACTATTCAATAACAGTGTTAAAGTAGACCAAAAAAAAAAAGCACTAGATTGGCCTGAAGCACATTCCTGGTGGTTTTTACAGCTGTTCCCTGGCAAAAAAAAAAACCCAAAATTCAGTCTCACATTCCATCTTACATGTTGTAAAAGGTACAGGTCCCTCGCATCACCGCCTTTCCCTGTTCTTAGTGTCCTTAGGTTTTATGCTCTTTAATCTACCCCTCCTCCTACCTTTTGTTTTCCCAATAGGGCTCCTTTTCCGAGTCTTGTTCTTCTTACCTGTTGTTGACTAAGAGACCCGGAGTTTCCTTTTTCTGTCTTCTCCTTCAGTGGCTCCTATCTCTGTTTGGCTTCGGTATCAGCCAAATGCTGGCAGGCGTAGTCAAGACAGGTCCTCCACATATCAGAACTTGCCCCTCATCTTCTGGCTGGAGCAGCCGTTCCAGCAAACGTTCTCCTGAAATCCTTTGTGGTACCCTGACAGAGCGAGTGATTTGAGCTCTGAGCAAGGGCAGAGTCTCCTTGAGGTGCTATTACACTTAGTCTCGCCAGTTTGTGCAAAAGCGTGTCTTTTCTGAGGTAAATTTGGGTGAGTTTTCTGATGGCTGAAGAGCATATGCAATGCTGGCACATTTTGCCTGTCCTTCCCGTCCAAGCTTTATTTCCCAGGTTCAAAATAAGGGGGGTGAGACCAATAAGGACATCTGAAAGTCTCAAGCCATAGTTAACGTGAACAAAGTATTTTCTCCAGCCTTGTCTTCAGAAGTGATTGACACTGTCAAACTAAAGCTTCATCAGCGTTTGGTAGTTTTAAGTATTTGAAAATGAGGTCTTGTAACAGGAAGCAGAAGTATTTGTGCCCATAGAAGCCCCAGCTATGTTATTTTAATGGAGATACCTGGCCAGGGATCAGGTCAGTCCTCAAAACTTGATACTGCATGTGCTGTTCATGCTGTGTGGAATTCAGATGGCCACTGGAAGATGCTGTACTCCTGATCAGTGTTACAGAGAGTTGAAAAGAGAAACACCTGATGAGTGTTTTACCTTAAGACTATGCTTTAAGCTAAGCAAAACTGATTTCTGTGGGAGCTTTGCTGCCTTTTGAATCCTGGGGTGGGTACAAGGAGCAGATATTGCTGCAAGATAAAATGTATTAATAATGCTATAATAAAAAAAGTGGTTCCAGTTAATAGCTGCTTCTTAAACTGCTTTCTAGAGAAACTGCTGCCGATTTCTGCGGTTAGAGGGAAAGGCAAAGACTGATCAGCCAGATGATGCCACCTAGAAGTGAAAGGAATGCCCCGGAGATGAGGGGTTTACACGAAGCGGTGGGAGGGTGTTCCTCGGGCCCGGCGTCCTCTCCCCCTTAGGAGGGGAGGAGGAAGGACCCCAGGCAGGGCGGGCGTCGGGGGCAATCTCTACGAGGCCTGTGCGAAGACGCTTCCCGCTTGACTCCTGAGGAGGGAGCCTCCGTGGCGCTGAAGGCCAGGCGCCCTTCGCGGCAGGGCCAGGGC